GAGACAAGAGCTCTGTCCCCAAATCCCCTGCACCCCGGTATGCTGAGGGCCTTTGGACGTTCTCCTGCTGCAGGGGGCGAGGTCTGGGGACAAGATTTGGGGACAAGATGTGGGGGCGAGGTTTAACCTCCGGCCACCGTTCCCCTCTCGGGCACTAGGTGGCACGCACGCTGAGACGGCCGCCTCGGCTGGCCCTTCGCACAGCTTTAATCCTGGATGCAGAGATCAGCATTTGTTCTGGCACACCTTTGCCTTCATCTCTGCTTTTCCTTGGTGCTTCAGCATTTTGTCTCCAGAGTTGTCCTCGGGAGCTTCTCAGGTCCCCTTGTACGGGCTCTGCTTCCCTCCTGTGAGACCTCCGTGCAGGAGGGGAGCACTGCCGCCAGGCTGGCTGCCTTCAGTGTCATCCATGCACACAGCTGAACGGGGCAATATTGGGGTCAAAGCAGTGGGAAATCGCTGCTGGAGGTGGCAGAGAAGTGGTGCAAGACAGCCGTGGCAATACGGTGTGTAACCGCTGCCTCACTGCGCTCCAGCTGCAAAGACCTGCCCTGTAAAGTATTGTGCTAAGAGCACTGTTTTTGGCTCATCTTTGTCAGGGAGCTCGGGGAAGATGAATGAATTTGTTCCGTATGTGAGGAAGGATTAGGAGAATACTCACAGTTCTTAAATTAAGAAAGTAAGCAGAAATAGTGGGCTGTCTGCGGCAGAAAGGCTGCAGGTGCTGTTTTCTCTGGGTGATCGTGGGGCACCATTTCTCATTCCACTCCATTTCTGACACCTGCCAGACCCTGGGGACAGCCCAGCTGTGACCCAGCAGCAGAAAACAACTCGTTTATCCCTAAACTCCCCCCAGTTGCACCTGTACCCTTGTACCACATAACCTCAGTGTGGGATGTGCTGCTGCCACATCCCTGCTGCTCCTGCAACCGCACCAGAGGTGTGGGGCAAGCACAGGACTCCACGGCCATCGCAAGTGCCTTGATAAATGACCGAGGAGCAGCAGAGACCCGGCCAAGGCTCTCCAGCTGGCTTCCTGGCATGCCTCCCACAGGAGGTGACCAGGTCAGCATGCAAAGCCACGCTCTGTCTCCTCAACAGCTCTCATCAGACCTGTTAATTAAACACAGGAGCCGGTTGACGGCATCAGCGGTGATCGGCTCCAACCTCTGCTTGTTCCTGGGTGCTCGGAAGTGATGGAGCCACAGATGCTGTCTGTGTTCTTGGGGTCCAGGTGCGATGGAGTCACTTCAGTACCCTCTAAGCAGATTACGGCCCTGGGGAAGTAATGCTGATGCTTAAGTGCTTCCGATTGATTTTGTGCAGTCCCTTGGCTCTCCGCCAGAGTCTGTAAGCCTGGAGTGGGTTTTCCCTGGAAGAAACAGATAAAATAACCTCCTGTGCGTAACAAGCTGGCTATTTCATACGTGTGATTTACCCCAGATGTAAAGGAACGGCCCGACAGACCAGCAGCATGTCACTGAGCCCAGAGCAGTGCCCAGAAAGGAGCTGGGAGGGTGAAGGCAGGAAACCAGAGTCTGGGCTCTGGAGCAGGTGGGTCCAAGATGTCAGGAGAGCTCATTCACACCTTCTCCTTTTTGCTTTCAGTCTCATACGTTTCCACGTGGGGATCTTGGGAACTGGATTTATCAGCAAGGGGATGCCAGAAGGTTTGTGTGCCTCCTGAGAAAGGGGAGGTGAGAGCAAAGCTTTCTCAGACAAAGCCTGACCGTGTCCCTGTGGGCTGCTTCAAGCCACTTCAAGCTCTAGGTCTCCTTCCCAGGGGCACCGTGTGATGTTCCACCCTCTTGTGGGTTCGCACCAGTGGCTGCAGGACCAGGATTAAAAGGCAAGGGGTCACCGATGAAGGTGCCTGGCAGTATGATCAGCGCATTGCAGTGCCAGGGGATGGGCTCACAGAGGGCAGAGGATGGAACAGGAACACCTTTAACAGGAACACTGTAAAAATAGGCAGAATTTTCCCAATTTTCCACCTTCCCAAAGCCACCACCTGCCTCCATGCTAACATGACATTCTGGGGCTGGCATCTCCCAGGTTTATGGCCAGCATGGTATTACAGAAGCACCAGCAGGGATGAGGTTCCTTTTCGGAGCCATCTCACAGACTTCCCTGCTTGGTCTCACTGCTTCTGCTTCTGGTCCTTACTCTGGCACGCTGTGCAGGTACGGGTGATGGGTGCACAGCAGGCAGTGGCAGTCCTACCCTGTCCCTCTGCGCTGCAGCTGTCCCTGCTCCTAAAACTAGGCCAAACCAATCTCGCAAGAAACACAGTTTAGCATCTTCATGGAGGCTACACCTCTAGGTAAAAACACTCTTTGAATACTTGTTATCATGTTCTCTATTTGCTCCTTCCATATTTTTTTTTCTTGTTAATTGTTACTATTTTTTGCTAACTGGCCTTTTTCCTGATGAGGAAAGCAGCAGAAACTGAGAACTTGCTGCATGTTTTTATACTTGCTTCATGGTTGTATACTGGTATTTACATTCACTGACATTCCTGGACACTGCACAGACTGGCCCTAGGTTCGTGATCATGAGTCCGAGGTGTCTAGATGACTCTGTGTTAATGTACAGATGGATTGGGCAGCAAAACGATCAGCCTGGCTATGTTGTTTTCAGAGCACGAGGAGTGTAGGGTCAGCCTGTGCACTCTGTAAAACCAAATTACCAGAATGCATGAGAGCAGCTGTGCATACAGATGACCAGCAGCCCAGGCACCTTCTCTGCAGATGCCCAGCATCCAGCAGTCACTGCTAAACAGAACAAACCTGCACCTGAAGCAGGAGGGACGGCAGCTGTAGCCTTTGTAACTCAATTGTCTCACTCAATTCCCATCACCTTGCAGTTTAACATCCATTGCATTGTTTAGCAGGTTTCTGTGCCTTTTTTTTTTTTTTTCCTCATGTCATTTCACCTCCTGCTGTTTCCCGGTGATCACCTTGCCCAGCCTTTCAGTCCTGAGCTCTTCAGGTTACATCCTTCTCCACCCAGCTTAGCTGCAATGCCCCCAGCTGCTCCATTTCTCTTTAAAGCACACAAAGACCAGTAATTGTTTAATTCCTCTCTTACTCCCACTTTCTCCAGTGTTCCTCATTTCCTCACTATTAGTTTCTTCTCTTACCGACATTATACACAGCTGCTTTCAATGATTTTCTGGTCATCTTTTAGATTATTTATTTGCCCATCTAGCAGGGCTTTAAACCCAGTACAACTCTAGCTGCTTGTGCCTGTAGAACACCACCCAAGTGATGGAAAGCTGCAGTTCTGCCACATTTTGTCTGCCCCTGGTGCTTCCCCCAGGCTTTGACTCTTAAATAGCACTCAGGGAGGGGAGCAATGTACAACTAACTGATCCTCATGTATCCGCATGGTGGCAGTCGGGCATGCCAGCAGGTGCCAGTGGTGTAGTTTCCCCTTCACATAGCCTAGAATCCTTTTTGCAACCACCTCCTCCACAGGGGCACAGAGGTCTTGTGCTCAGCTGAGGGGAAAGAAGATGAAAACGAGAGCTTTGGGAGGGCAAGGGGGGTGATAAATCCCTGGCAACCTGCCTGCACCTCTCTGATTCTCCATGGTGGCGTTAGCAAAGTTAACAGCATTAAAAAAAAAAAAAAAAGGAGCCACATTTAAGGAGCTGCCAAGGAGTGAGATGAGTTGTTTATGATTAAATTAAATTCATATGAAAGCTAATGACCTGCCAGCATGAGTCTTGGGTAACTTTATAATGTAATTAAAAGCCCAACAGGGAAGAGAGCTGTGGTTATGCCACGTGTTGAGAAGCTGCCGGGAAGAAGCAGGCCGAGGGTGGTGCTGGTGCAGAGAAGCACCAGGTCACTGCTTTGTCCTCTCCACTGCTCCAAGGGCACGGCCCGATGGAGTGGGCTGCTGGGGACAAGTGGGGTGTGGTGGCTCAGCTCCCAGCTTCAAAGGGTACAGAGGCAGTCCTGGGTAAGGCCGTTCTGGTGACCCGATCATACCCACAGCCAACAAAGCCTCTATTTTCTACTCAATTCATTCCCCAAATGCCTTAGGGTTGATGCTGTTGGAAACCACGTCAGCAAAGCCTTGGGGGCAGTTGTTACGGGACAAGAGCAGGGTCAAGGACCAAACCCTGGGTGTGAAGCCTATACACAGGTCCCCCATGTCAGGCAGGAGGCATCATCCTGGACCTTCTTCTACTCCCTACAGCTTCCTACAAAGGCAAATAGTTGCAGATAAGGCAAGCTGTGCCCCAAGAAGCCGTGCCCTCCTGGAGAAACAGCCGAGCTGCCCCTGACCAGCACTGGACTGACTCTTGTGCTTTGGCATCACCTCGGGATGCTGTTTTTCAGAAGGGCAGAAGGGGAAAGCAAGAGGGCAGCCGCAGAGGACTTGTGCTGCCTCGCTCTGCTTTTTCCACGCATATTATTCGGAAAAGCACCACTCGTGGGCTGCCACTTCCCAGCACTGGACACAGGGAGCTGTTGAGCTGCAGGTCGCTGCCCTTGGCGACTTACAGCGAAATGCCCGGAGCGGCCGATGCCACTGCATCCCTGTGCGTCTCCCGTGCCACATCCACGCCAGCTTTTTCCATTTTTTTTCCCGTGATTTTGGGGAACGAAAGGCACGGGGCGGGCAGGCAGAAGCCGGCCGGGTACCCCTTGTGCCAGCTGCGCCCTTAGCGCGGCGGCCACGCGTGGAGGGGACAAACACGCGTGGGGCGGGCGGCCACGCTCGCCCCTTTAAGCGGGCGCTTGTAGGGCCGCCCCGCCGGCTGGGATAGGTCGGGGCGGGCCGGGGCCGCCTCCCGCCCCCGGCAGCGGGCGGGTGGCTGGGCTCGGCTCGGCACGGCTCGGCTCGGCACGGCTGCGAGCTCCGGTCCCGGCTGCGTGCGCCCCTGTGTGTGTGCGCCTTCCCCCAGCGCCACCGCTCCCCGCCGGGCCCCTGGCGCCGGGCTGCGAGGGGCTAGAGGCATGCCCAGGAGGAGCATCGCGGAGGTGAAGGTGCTGGACGTGCAGAAGAGGCGCATCCCCAATAAGCACTATGTGAGTGGCACGGCTCGGCACGGCTCGGGGCGCACCCGGCCCGGCCCTGGGCAAACAAAGGGCGGGCGCTGCCGATCCCAGGGGAGCTCCGGGATGGTGGGAGGAAGAGGAGGAGGAGGAAGAAAAGGAGGAGGAGGAGGGCAGCGCTGCTGGAACTATCCCGGTACCGGGACCCGTTCCCCACCCGGGCAAAGTGGGGGGAGAATGTGGGTAGGGGATGTGCCAGGGGGTGCCACTGGGGCTAGGGGGGTGCTGGGGCAGCCTGCGCCCCTGGAGTCACCCCCGGAAAGTGTCCCTGCCTTGGTGAGGGGCAGCGTTTGCATGGGGAGTCAGGAACCTGTTGGCTGTGGGGTCCCCGCAGAAGGACCCCCCGGTTCCATCCTCCTGTGCTTGGGACGGTGCCGCTGTCCCCCACCGAGGTGGCTCTGTGCCTGCTGCACCCCTGCTGCCCCGCTGTCCTGGGGAGCACATTCCTGCACACTCCAGGGCATCTTCCCAACAGCTGCGGGGCTGTCTTTTTCTCGAGTTTTTATATTATTATTATTGTTGTTGTTGTTATTTACACTTTGGTGCGCTTCCAGGCATCCATGGAGACCTTGTGGGTGAATCTTGGCAGCAACTGTAAAACAAAGACCAAAATGTTCTCCCCGCCCCGTTCGCCTTAGACCGGGGTGACCCAGTGACACACTGTTCGTGTTGCATTTGGGTTACAAGGACGCGCAGAGTGCCTCATGTCAGCAGAGCCAGGCAGCCTGAGCTCTGTGCAGATCAGGGGTTTGTTTTGGGTCCCCCCCAGCTGGCTTGTGGCGGTCAGCAACAGTCAGAGGAAAGCGAAAGAACAAGCTGGCTGTCTCCGGGATTGAGGAGAGTGTAAACAGGGCCGATATCCTCTCCTTGCACCCAGGGAAGTGCCTTAGCTCTGTGATGTGGTGGCCACCACCCCAACCCCTTATCACCTCTTCCTCCTCTCCTGCCTTGTCAGTAGTTTTATCAGTGTCTGCCCGAACCTGGCCCCAGCTCCAGATGTGCCCTTTTCCTGCTCTGTCCACCCCAGACTTACTCACCCTAGCTGGGCTGTGCAGCAGGTCCGGAGGAACACATACGTGAGGAGGTTTGATGAGTTGCGTGTGCTTGTGTTTGTCTTGGCAGATCTCTTGCATCGCCCTCAGGTCCCGTAACGGGTGTGCTGGGGTTGCCTGGGGCTGCTCCTCCCTTTTCCCTTCTGGGCCTTTTTGTGCTTTGCAGGGGCTGAGGGCACCTCACAGCCCTTGGGCTCCTGCTGTCCCTCCAGATCCGAGTCCCTGCTACAGGGAAATGCAACCCACAGGCTGGGCACCGTCCCGTTTGGGCACCATCCCTGCTCGCCCACCGGGGTCCCCACACAGCTCCGCAGCGGGGAGGCGGGTGGAGCTGGGCATAGCACAAATAATCCTATCGGGCTGAGAAATGGGGACAGCAGTGTTTATGAAGACGTATCGCTGGGTGGGTGCAGCGGGGTGGCAGCTCTCGTGGCTGGATCCTGAGCGTGCGGAGGAGACGGTGGAGAAGAATCTGCACAGAGCTCATGACAGTCAGCTGTGCAGCTCGGCTGCTTGGCTGCCCGCTCCCTTCTCAACTGGCGGCTCGAGTCCTCTGCCTCTAACCTTTCCCTGTACTTGTCTTGGACCCAAACTCGGCCACGTGAGCCAGGGCAGGCTGAGCTCGGGGAGGGGCGGGCAGCGGCCTCCCCACGGCAGTGCTGGAGTAAATGGGAGCACTCGCCTTGCTAGAGGGGATCGATAGGATCAAGGCAGATCCACAAAGCCAGTTAATTATATGGAATCAACCCCCTTTTTTTTTTTTTTCTTTTCCTCCCCTTCCTCTGCAAAGAGAGGCAGAGGAGGGGCAGCAAATCCCGGCTGAGTCATCTCACTTTAGACTGTATCTGTTGGCAAGCAGCAAAGCGAAGTCAACCACAAAGTGTGTGCACTAAACCTTTGCTTTGCTTCTGCTCTCCGAGATAAATGTGCTCTCTGCCATCCCTGGAGGCAGCAGCTCGCAAGGAGCCCTGCGGCTCTTCCTCTCGTTGCCTCTGCTGTGCCCGACCCGTGGCTGACCTGTGCCGCTTGGCTCTGGCCTCCGCTCTGCATCCGTGAGGCTTTTCTTTTGTGCTGGACAAAGGTGCGGTTGTGTTGGCTGCGTGAGGCCACAGCAGAAAACCGTGCAATTCCAGTTTCCCAGAGAAGTGATAGCAAACCAGTGTTTCAAAGTCCTTGTTTATTCCTCTGGTGGGGTGGGGGTGGAAGAGGCCAGCTCCGTTCGGGCTGGCGGGGTTCACCCATCGCCTCGGTAATCGATACAGAGCGTTGTGCAACCGAGACAAAAACTTGTGCTTTTGCAAGCTCTAATTTGAAGCAGGAGACACGTTTCCTAAACTGGGGGAGGGGGTGCTTTTGAACTATTGGCCTGTCCTATCAAAAAGTGATCAAATGCCACTTCGGTGCTGGGCAGGAACATTTCTCCCTGGTGCTGTTCTTCATAAGCACAGCTCACCCTCCATCCCTGCCTCAGCCTTTCACCCTCAAACGCCTCTGAGTTTCGCAGCCTTGCGAGAAATGTCACATGTAACAGTTTCCAGGGACAGAGGCTGCACGGGGCCTCTGTGTTTCCATCCTTTCCTAACCCTTCATGGCCCGTTCCCAGCTGGCTGATGCTGCTTTTCTGGCTGGGAGAGGCCAGGGGTTGCTCAGACGGAGGCAGAGCCAGGAGCATCGCTCCCTGATGCAGGGCCCTGCCCTGCACGAGAGTAAGGACCCCACGAGATGCATGCCGACGGGTGGGGGTACCCAAATACAAGTTTTAATGTGTGCTGTGTCAGGATTTAATGCTGCCCAGGTTTCTTCTGCACCTTGCTGGTCAAATACTATCTGTGCATTTTCCCGGTGGAAGAGAGGCAGTGCTGCTGTCTTGCTGCTAGCCTTGTACTCCTGGAAGGTTTTTACTGCTGTAGTGTTGGCATGGTGTGAGGCCAACACGTCTGCCTCCTGTTCTTGTCAAACCAACTCAGATTGTACAAGCAGAAGGGCCAAGAGGGGAAGGATAATCTAGATTCTTGCTCCAAGTGATAGCAGCCTCGAGTTTGCTCTACTAGCTGTGAAACCATTTCTCAGTGTATTGTTGTTGCACCTTCCGTCCTGACCTCCTAACCCCAGTCTTTAAATTGTGCCATTTGTATATTTAAACTTTTTTATTAATATATTAAAATACTATTTTTATGGAAAGGGCTGTTGGAGAAATGATTTTTTGGCAGGTGTGTGTTGTTGGATGCGCTGCTCGGACTCTGTCAGGAGAACAACTGAGCTTGGGACCATCAGAGCCCATTATCAGAGTGAAGAAGAAAGACTCCCTCCCATCAGGCAGAGAGTGAGGGTCACCCTGCGGTGACACATCCCCTGCAATCACATTTCAAGTGATTACAGCTCGTGTCCCAGAGGTCTAGTGCTCAGGGACACTGGCAGCGAGGGCTCCAGGCCAGTATTGCAAATTAAATTCATTTGAAAAGACAAAATCCAAAAGCAAAGTTTAAAAATAATCATTCTGGGCGACAGAGTAGCAGACTGTCATTTCTATTGTCTGGCCAAGTCTCAAATTCTGATAAATGGGTGTTTATTCAGAAAAGACCCAAAACAAAACCGTAGTTGAAACAGACCTAAATTTTCCTTTAAAGGACTTCATGCAGGATCTTTTTATAGCGTTGTGTTTGTTATTCCTAGTAGAAGTCTCAAAAATACAGCTTTTGCTTACTAAATCTAGATCTTAGTTGTTTTCTTGCCCTTAAGGAAGCTTTAGGAGCTTTCTTTATAATACAGCTGCAGCTTGTGTGTTTTGTTCTGTGTTAATAACCGTGCCATTGAATTGCACCTTCATTCCTATGATCCTGTCCGCTAAGAATACTTCCACAACTCGTATAGTTTTAAATGTTTGCTCAACAGCACAGAACAAAATTATATATACGTCTGACAGGGGAAAAAAAAAGAGCAGCATGCTGTATGTTTTTTCTAGGTTATTGGGAAATCTGGACTATGCTCTTGCAGGGACTTCCTTTCCCAGCCTCAATGCACGCAAATATCACTTTGAAACAGGAAAATTTAAACAAAGTGTACAGCATACATTTATTTTACAAGCTCAGTTAACAAGATTGCAAACTTTAAACGAGGTGGATATCCATGCATATTTAACTGCCTCATTTGTATCTGCAGCTGCCTTGTAAAAGTAATTAACTGTGGGTGTTGGAATTCGGTGTCTAGGTTATAGAGTCTATAGGTATTTTAAAACAAGTTTGATTAAAACCACATTCAAAAAATTAACGTGTTATTATTTTTAATTGTGAATTTGTGAAGTGTTACTAGGTATCTTCTCTGCTCCTGTGCCTTATAGTCATGAGACTATTTGTGGTTTAATTCATCACGCAGCCCAACCCTATTGCTTATCTGGAATTGATTATTCAGTATTCAGAGAAGAATGCTCCACTGGCAAGAGAAAGAAGGCTGCTAATCTACAGATTGAGTCGTTCCTCAGTGCCTTATATGTATAGAGCAGGAGATGCCTTCTGAACGACTTATCCCATGGCTTGTGTCAGAGTTGCCCAGTCCTGACGTGGTCCATTGGAACAGAGATCTGAGGAGACCTGGCCCCAAGTCACCACGTACAGCTGCTTTATTTTTTCTGTTGTGAATCACACCGGTTGTTTGGCTTAAAAAGGACGTTGGGGGATGACTCTTCCCCAGTGTGATGCTCTTTGCGGAGGGTGACCGTGCTCCCGGCATGGCTGGAATGTCCTGTGGGGAACCGGAGGAGCTGGGTGCACTGAGACAGAGGAAGCAGAAGGTTAAAATGAACAGAGTGAAAATCCATCCAGAGGCTGTTAACTGATCGAGGAGTTAAAGAAGGGAAAAGTGAAACTAGACCATATAAAGCAAGGCTGAAGCCGCTGATGCTGGAGTCTCTGCTGCTGCAAAGAG